ACAAGTGGGTGATACTTTAGCCCCACTAAGCAGCAGAACTTGGCACCTTTGGCCACATGGTTCTGGAGTCAAGGGTAGAAGAAAGGGGCTATGGAATTTGCCCTCAAAGACTAAGAAAAGTCAGTGAAGCCAGGCATGTATCAGGGGTGTCTCTGAGTGGAGGCCTACAGAGGCCATTGCATGAAGCTATGAAGGCAAAGCCAGGATCAGAGACCCCAAGATACTAGAGATGCCTGAGTTGTGGGTTACCTGATAACAGGGAATGGAAACAGGCCTAGGGAAAGGAGTGTGTTGCAGTCCAGGAGCTGAAAGGAATTGGAGATCTGAAGAACAATTTGACATTAGACATGGAGATGTAGAGTTTGGAGTTTGCCCAGCTGGCTTTTGGTCTTGCTTTGGTCTAGTATTTTCTCACTATGTTCCCTTCCCTATGTTTTAGAATGGTATTATATGTTGGAAGTATGTGATCTGTCTGCTCTTTGATTTTGATTTTATAGGGGATTAGAATGAAGAGATTGAATGATTCTCAGAAGAGACTATGAACTTTAGACTTTTAAATAAGTTTGAGACTGTTATAGACCATGGGCCTTTTGAAGTTGGACTGAATGCATTTTTGTATTATGATATGACTACAAGACTTTGGGGGCCAGGGAGTGGAGTGTGGTGCTTTGAAAGAAAAGGACCCCAAAGGGAGTGGCACTATTGGCAGGTGTGACTTTGTTGGAGGAAGTATGCTACTGTGGAGGTAGGCTTTGAGGTCTCATATATGCTAAAGCCACATCCACTGTTTTAGTCTACTTCCTGCTGCCTTCATAGCCAACACGTAGCAGTAACCTTTCCAGCACCACATCTGACTGCAAGCTGTCATGTCCTACCATGATGATAATGGACTGAGCTTTTGAACTGTAAGCGAGCCACCACAATTTAATATTTTCTTTGTATGACACCATGGTCATGGTGTCTCCTCACAGCAAGAGAAACCCTAACTAAGACAGAGGGATCAGAGAGATAAAGACTACACTTCTCTGTGGGTATAAGGACAAATGATTGTAGATTATTGTTAAGGATTATCCTAGATAATTTTTAAATTGGATACTAAATGACAAAAAACAAAACACAACAAAACAAAACAAAAAACAACCCCCCCAAAAAAACCCCAAACATTTGAATGGAGCTACCCTACATGGGTGGAATCCATGGGTTATGAGAATAAAAATCCAAGTGCCAGGTATGGGACACCTTCCTGCAGAATTCTTTTCTCACTCTATGGCCAGCAGAGTGATGATCCATAGGAGGCAAGAAGGTAGTTTGGATCAACATGACTAAGTAGTCTGTGTTGGTCCAAACTTCGGGAGTCTGACCCCAAGTGGTTTCTTTTAGGCATAATTAAGCACAGTGTAATTTGGTGAAAACTTTCACGGTGATCATTAACAAAAATCTTCTTGAGTAACTAAGGGATCCACGATTACATTGAAACTCTTTGTGCAGTACATGTGATGCCTTCCATAAAGGTAGGTTCTATAAATTGACTGGAAACAAAAAACAAAAAACAAAAACATGCTTAACACCCCTTGAGTGATGAGCAAAGGGGTCAAGACCATGCTGGGGAAACCCACAGAAACAGCTGACCTGAGCAAGTGGGAGCTCGCAGACCCCATTCTGACAGCTGGGGAACCAATATAGGACTGAACCAGGCACCCTGAATGTGGGTGTCAGTTAGGAGGCCTGGGCAGTCTATGGAGCTTCTGGCAGTAGAACCAATATTTATCCCTCGTGTATGAATGGACTTTGGGAGCCCATTCCCTATGGAGGGACACTCTCTCAGCCTAGATACACGGGGGAGGGCCTAGACCCTGCCCCAAATGACTTTGATGATTTCCCCATGGAAAGCCTCACCCTCCCTGGGCAATAGATAGGGGATGGGATGAGGATCAATGGGGGTGGCATGGGAAGGTAGGAGGGAGAGGGAACTGGGATTGATATGTAAAAAAAGATTGTTTCTAACTTAAATACAAATGTATATAAAACGCTTATACTAAGAGTCTGGGGGAGGGGTCAGTGTGGGCTCTGGCCTCACAGAAAGCACAAAGATCACTCCCAGCCTTCTGGGTAACAGATTGTGCATTCCTTCCCTTGAAGGAACAACCCTGAGTGCTAATGTTAATCTGTGAGCACAAGGAACTCTGTGACTCCTACGCCTATGAGTCATTGTTTAAGGGGGTCCCAGAAGCTCCTTGTATAATACAGGCTAGGGTCATTGCTGTTGGTTTCCCACCAGGACTAGATGATAAGACCCTACTGCAGAAGACAGCACACACTTTGGTTTAGGACAAAATACATCAAGCTGAAGCTGAACTGGATGCTTCCTGCCTGCTGGCTAGCTTTCACGGTGCCTGAAGGTGTCAAGCAAGATGCTACAAGGCAAAAGCCATCAATGGTCTCACCTAGCATTGCACCCAGAATGTTACAATAAGAATCTCCTAGGCAAGATGTGCCCACTGGTTCAACAATTGCATGGCTATTATGTGGACAACCAAAGACATTCTGGCTTTTAAGACCTGCTCCACAGGAGGAAACTCACACTGTTTATTGTGAATCTGGGTTCCAGCACTGGGGAAGTCACAAGCCCTGGTGAGTGGGGAAATTATCTTTGTTTTGCTAAATGTACATATTATCAAACTGCCTTCTAACTATTTAATATTTATATCAATAGACTAGCATAGCTCTTAGCCTAGGCCAGAAAAGCTTCTTTTTGCGGTGCAAAGCAGTAAATGCAAAGGCTCATAACTGATCAAATGCTGTGAATGGCCTTTGAGTGATCAATCCCTAACTCAAACTTCATGTATGAGCTGGGGTGAATGGTGTACTGTGAGACAGTGTCATATGGACATTATATGGATGTTTGTTGTGTGACTTCTTGGGGCAACATACTTCCAAATATGGCACCAATAACCAACCAAAGAAGTGATCCCATCAAAGTTCATCTTGGTGAAGCAATAACTGGGTTGCTTACACGAGTATGAATGAGGGGCTACTTACAGAAGCATTGATGACTCCAAGGCAGCTGCATCACAGAAAAACCCATCCAAGCATTGGCGATGACTCATGAAATCTTCCACCCTAGAGCTCTTTGAGTTACAGACAGTTTGACATGTCAGAATGTTTCCTCTAGGCAGCTCTATCAGTCTGAGTGTCTTATCCTCCAGCAGTTTATGCTTCCATAATCTTGGGGAGGATGTTTGTGAATCTTGTTGGTTTCAGGAACTTTCTGAGACTTAGGAATTTTTACTTCTTGAGTCTCATGAGACTCCTGGAGTGATTACTTGAGACTGGACATGTCTCAAGTAAACGTAATAAATGTAAATAAAGACAGGGTTTCTCTGTGGGGCCCTGGCTGTCCTGGAACTTGCTCAGTAGAGCAGGCTGAACTTGAACTCTGCTTCTGCCTCCTGAGTGCTGGGATTAAAGGTCACTTCCCAGTGAATACTTTTTTTTTCAATATGATGCAGAAATTAAGTGTGGTTCTTCCTGCCTCACTGAAATCCGTACTAGCAGATAAAAACCTTTAAAAAAATTCAGCCTGCATTCAAATGTCTAACATTTAAAAGTAATATTGTACATAGTGACCTTGAAAAATACTGTGTTACTATAAATAAGGGAGATGTGCAAGCATTTTGGTTCCCTGTTTTTTGCTTGTTTTTGTTTTGTTTTGTTGTTTGGTTTTTGGAGAAAGAGTTTCTCTGCATTGCTTTGGAGCCTGTAGCTGGAAGTAGCTCTGTAGACCAGGCTGGCCTTGAACTCACAGAGACCCACCTGCCTCTGCCTCCTGAGTGCTGGGATTAAAGATGGGCGCCACCAATGCCAGGCTTGTTTTTGTTTTGTGGACTTGGGGATCACACTGGGATGCTGACACATGCTCTACCTCTGAGGTAAATTCTCACTCAGTCCCTCTGATTTACTCTTACAAGACTTTTACTGTTTTTTTTTAAAGTTTATTTAAAAAGACAAGTTTTGTATGTCTGAAAAACAGAAGAAAAATGAAAAAGGCAAAGATTAAACATAGTAAGCTAATAGAATGACCACTAACACTTGAATTTTTATACAGATGATCAATGGAATAAATAACTTAAAAATAAATTGACTATATCTTTTCCCCACACATTGATTTCTTCTTATATTGTTGGGGGTGTATAGATTTGTATAGATTTACTGGGAAGAAATTTCACAGGAGGGTGTAAATGTGAAGACATTTAATGGACATCACATTTATCATATGAAATTTTGGAACAACTTTAATGCCCACCAGTGGTGAAAGGTTTTAAAATGTGAGAGTAGATGCTGTCCCTGAACCACACATTTTGAACTGTTAAGTGAGTAGAGTGTGGTGGCACATGCCCATAGACCCAGTACTTAGGAGACAGAAGCAGGAGAATCTCAAAATCAAGGTAAATTTAATCTACATAGCAAGGTCTTGTTTCAAAAAAAAAAAGTTAAAATGATAAAAAAAATCAGTTTTAGGTTATATAGATTTACCTCCATGTAAAAGGAAAATGCATCTATAATGATATAAATATAGAACAAAACATTCCACAAGTTTTGAAGTAGTATGATAGATATACATACAGTCCTGCACATGTTTCAGCTACTTGAGTAGCTATGCTTTTAATTATCTAGTATTTATATGCACGAGTAAGTGTTTGTGCACAAACAGAAACTACCTGGAGAAATACAGGCTATGTTTTTACAGTGGTTATCATTGGTGGTATCTCATAGCAAAGACTTTATTTCTAAATTGTTTTAATATATAAATGTGAATACGTGATTGATTTAAAATTAAGACAGGCTTTAGGCCAAATGACCATGGTTTCAAGAAGTTTGATAATTCAAGAAGAAACGCTGCATTTATATATTGATAAAGGTTATTCTAAATGCTGCACCAAGTTCAAAACTTAGAACTTGGTGAAATTTTCAATGACTATTATAATCATGGAGTCACAGTAAAATTTTTGCAACTGTGCTTTAATTCTCAATTGATGACAGCGACTCAAAGCACAGAGTCAGGTATTCTAGGTGGAGACAGGATATATGTACAGAGGAAGAAAAGCCCTCTCAACACAGCAGACCTGCAAAGTTCACTGGAGTTGGCTTTGTGCACTCTGAGTCACTCTGCTCCAAGCCTCAGTTGCTTTCATGACACCATTTTCCTCTTGCAAACAAATTTAGGCTGCAATTGGTCATGCCCCAACAGGAATAGGCAACAACAGTCAGATGCTGTCAGCAAATCCTTGCAGCTTCTGGGCCTGAGGTGATTTTCCTGGGTACTTTCTTCAGGACTTATTGTACCAACTTCACACTGGGTAAGTGAAGGAACCATCTCATGAAGGGCAGCATATGGGAAGGTGTACCGGCAAGCTAGCCCTTCCCAGCATCAAGCCTTTGACTTTTTCCACAGCCCTTCAGAGGTGCTGTTCACATACTTTTACATAGCATCTTCGTAGTCCTTGTATGTGGTATCTATCTTCCTTGGACTGGAGTAGATTTCAGAGAAGGCCTGGAAGGACCAAAGAAGAGAAGACAGAAAAACATGTCTTCACCTGGGGCTCTTCCTGGTCAGCCTGGATGCATTTTGTCATGTGCAACCACAATGTCTTAAAAGGAGCCCCTTGGAAGCCCGTGGCCTTCTGCCAGGATTGTCAAAGGAGCCTGTCACTCCTGAAGCTTCCAGAGGAGCTCCTGCCGAACAACACTATGAGCAGTCCTTGTTCAGAGACACCGGAATGAAGAAAACTGAGCATGCTCTCAGGTTTTCTGAGGACTTGAGTTCTGCCCTGAGACCACCCTATGCAGGACAAAACTGCAAAGCACCTGCGATACTTGTGGGAATTCAGAAGTATATGTGTTGTCTGTGTGTGGTTATGTATACATGAATGTAGGTGCCCATGGGGGACATAAGAAGGAATTGGGTTCCCTGGAGCTGGAGAGATGGTTGTGAGCTGCCCAATGTGGGTGCTGGGAATTGAACTCTGGTCCTCCATAAGAGTAGCAAGGCTCTTAACTGTTGCCATCTCTCTAGCCCCCATCACAGATATCATGAATTATCCAGGGGTTATAAATTGTAAATTTTTCATAATACAAATCATGTTTGTGCCAATTGTGAGGGTGGCCTTGTACATGTTTCACACGGCCAGCTTTTAAAGGCAATGTTTTTTTTTTTCAGTATTAATTTAGTTCGCTTCATATTACTAGCTATATAACACTAGTTGATGGCTGTACAGTTCAACAGTCTTTTAGAGTAGAGATTTTCAAATAAATAGAACTTTTAAAATAAGTATAAATAACTGAACTCTTCATCAGCACATTACTCAAGGAAATATACCCATAAGCCTCCAAAACTCCCTTATTTGGTGATTATTGTTATAACTAAATGCTTTTTATCTCTACTGTGCTGGTAAATAAGGAACTGTGGTATTTTTTTCCTCCTCCTAAGTAGCAATACGATGGAGGATACTAAGACAGTCTTCAGGGGAACAGAGAAAGCACACAGAGAACAGTCAAGACCCTGCTTACCTCACTTGTCCCGTGTGTCATCACGTACTGAGCTGTAGAGGAAGGAGGAAGCTGTGAGGGTCTGCGTATGTTTGGTCTTTTACAACCTCCCATTAGTAAAGCTTACTTCTTCTCTGTCCTGTTTTCCACAGGCTGAGCTCCAGCACCATTTCCCATCTTCCTTTCTAGCACATGGATATTTATCTCAGTGTCCCCAGGAGAATGGGCAGCCTGGGGCGGGTGGGTATGTAGGTCCTTCTGGCACTGGAGACACTTCGATACCTCTCTCCTTTTCTGGGCCTACCATGTAAAGGCTGGGATGAGAGCAGCAGCCATGTTGAATAGCTGTGAGGGCTGTGTAGGCCACTCGGCGGAAGCTGACATCGTTGGGTTGCCATTAAAACCCAGCCATGAGAAACATGCACTAACTAGGCCAGCCTAACAGTAGCAGTGGGCTCTACTTGACACAGCTTCCAGAACAAAGTAACTATAGTGATACCTACAGTCAGCTCTAAGGACAAACACTGTCACATTGCCAAGCAGACTGAACTCTTGGTTCTGGGACAGACAAAAGTCAGAGAAAAATTCATCCCGTCCCTTGTCTCACCCGCTGCCGGTTCCAGGTCCTGCTGGGTATGGTACACCAGTGAGTAAATTTCATCACCTCTTACAACATTCACTGAAACAAGAAAGGAGCCATATTGAAGCAACACTTTCTTCCTGCTTTTTCACTTACTCAACGCCCACCCATCACAAACTCAAAGGCAGCTGAATCATCCATTTATGGAGGAACTAGGTTGCAGCGTAATTGACTTTGGCAAGCAGACAACACCCTGCACAGCCTCTCTTTCCAGCATGTGCCATGTTGACTCAGGTCATTGGGAAGCCTCACCGTTCTCATACACGGACTGTAGATGCCTTGGGTCAGGTGAGTTAAGGTAGGTGGATTCTTGGAGCTCAGGCCTAGGAGGGCTCCTGCAAGCACAAAACACATACCAGCCCAGATGCTCTGGGTGTGACTGTGAGAGACTGTAAAATGCAAAGGAAAGGGTCCTGTACAAGACACTAATTCATGGGGAAATTAACAGCTGGAAGGTACAGCTATGTGGTATAAGCTGAAGCCTTATTGGTGGGCAGGATGGGGCTTTGACGATGCCCTGGAGCATGTGTCCCAGGGGCACAGGTTCAATATGATATCATCCACAAATGTAACTGTTATCATCTAGGGATCTTGATCAGGTTCATTTTCTCTTCAGTTAAAGAATTCAAAGGCAGGAAAGGCCTCGAGTGCAACAGGTAACAGCAGAGGAATTATGAACACTGCAGATGGCGGGAGACAGAATCAACGGTTGAAGAAAGGCTTTTTACTAGGGGTGAGGAAGCACACAAATCTAGCAGGTACAATGAGAAAGGCCCTCAGCAAAGCAGAGGGGGACTTAAGAAGCTGGTCTAACTTCTCCTTGAGGGCTGTTCTTTTTTTTTTTTAAAGCTATTGAAGGATCATGTTTCCCCTTATCTGGGGTTACTCAGGTGAAGAAAGGCTGGATGTCTGATTGGCCTACAACTCTTGTGTAAGTGTGTCCTGATAACACCTTGAACTTGAGCCGGTCTATCATTAGGGACCTATTGTCAGGAGACAAATCTGCAAGGCCTTTGTTTGAAGATGTCAGACTTTTGTCTCCAGGTCAGGAGGATGGGGAAGAGGCCAGTGTCTTGGAAGTTCATCCTTTTTATTATCAAGTCATGGTCCCTGTCCTTGTTTGTCTGTCCTTCAGGGAGTCTAACTGCTCATTCCTTGGAACAGAGCAGGGGATTTAGTAAAGAAATAGTGGTTCATCTTAGAAAAAATAGATAGTTGGCCAGAGTAAGCAACGTGAGGACGGAAGAGGAGAAAATGGTCATGTGCATGCTACACCGCTGGGGATGTGCAATGAGTGTTTATCATTGGTGTGGAGGATACGCAAGCTCAGTTTGGAACCCGCAAGCATTTTAGAAATGGTTTCTCCTCTAAGCTTCTAACGAACCTCGCCAACAACATTTCCAGTGCATCTCTTACTCTCTGTCTTGCATTTCAGAGGCTTGTGTAGCATATATATTTTACTTGCCCTAAAGTACTTTTAGAGTCTCAGGATCTTTCCCTTTATTCAAACCTCTCTGCTGGAAGTAAGATGACTGCATGAATAAGCCAGAGACCAAAAGAAATTAAGAGACTGTAACTGCAGAGACATTAGAAGGAAGCAATAGAGAAAATGGAAAAATAATTTAAAGTAATTAGCGTTGACCATGGAGGAACTTGGGAGGGAGTTGTAGGTGCAGCCAAACAGGGAAGCAGCTCAGGAGAGAGGACACCATTGTTTTAGAAGTGAGTTTTTACGGCACCAGCAGGGGCCATGCAAGTTTCTTGAGGAGGGAAATGACCAACCAACTGTCTTATCCAGGGATGACACCTACGAACCACAAGAATCAGTGTGTCATGATAACCCTACGGGTCCAGTAGTGGCTAGCAGTACTCAGGGCTAGTGAAGTCGTCAACCTTAGAGGAGAACATACAACCACTACTTTACTAAGCCAGCATAATTCCTAACTACATTTTACATATTTGCCTTTATACCCGCAGGTGAATTCATCCAGCAACAAAGAACCTTCTCTCTGCAACAGACCGAGTCCACAACCAATCAACATGCAGTGTTGGGAAGTCTATTCCCAGTGGATTCATCTACAAAAAACTCTCTCACCAAAGGCTTGGGGAACATTTTAGAAGAAGGGGTGGAAAGAATGGAAGAGTCAGAGGGTCAGAAAGTTTCTTGTGAGAGTGTGTCCCCCAGTAATGTCAGAAGCTGCACCCATAAAGTCCCACCAACATGACTGTCTAAACAAAGATGACAAAAACAGACGTGCTGAAGTGGTCAGGGAAAGACTATACATGAGGGACCACAGGCAACAAAGGGATGCTCTTCCCTTGGGAGCAGCATAGCAGTTGGTCATCCAGTACCAAATGCTTGGCCCTGGAAACAAGCATACAGGCAATACACAGACTAAGCAGGTTGTATTTAGGTTTAGAAATACATCTATATCTATATCTATCTATCTATACATACATATATATGTATATATTCATATATCTATATAACAACAATCAAAAGAAAAATGATGCCAAGAATTTGAAAAAGAGTAGGGAAGGGTATATGAGAGTATTTGGAAGGAGGAAAGGGAAGGGGGAAAGTGATGTAATTATACTATAGTAAAAATGAAATAAATAACTTTTTAAAAGTAAGTTTTCAGCATCATCAGCACATAGAGAAAGTGGGCCCTCACCTGAGTGGATCATCCGATTGTCTTCCTGCAAGGCAGAAGGATGAGAGCATGCATCAGTGGAGCCCTACTTTCACTGCCCTTCTGCAGTGGTGGTGCTCAGTTGGGATGGCACTATGTCCCCAGCAGACTTCTGGTAGACAATTATAGTCTTGATGTCACAACTAAGGCAATTCAGGTCCAGAAGCACTAAGTCAACTTCCCAAAGTTGGAAGTCAACAACTTCCCAAAGCCAGTAATTACCAGAAACAGGATTTGGGATTTTCTGTCTGCTACATCCTTTGCTTTGGATTTTGCAACCATCCTGTTGAATCTTATCCTGCCCAGAGACCCAGAGCCAGGCATTGCCATGGCCAAGTTATAGCTTGGAGGAGGTGTTCAAAGATGTTGGAAAACCTTGGAGTTCAAATGAGATTTGAATTGCCTCACACCATCCTCTGTTGACCATCTTCAATGACCATGCTCAATGGAGTCTTAGGAGCCCCAGGAGAAACATAAACACCTGTGAAACTATGGGTTGTGATAAACTCAGAAGGAGGTAAATAACTTAAAATCCAAAATGGAGAGCAATTGTTGGCTATGTTACCAGGTGAGACTTTCAGGAGAAAAAAATTGTTTCATCTACAAGGTGAGAAAGGTCCAGGAATGATCAGAACCCAGAGGGATGTGAATTGTATTTCCCCTAGAAGGGAAAGTATATGACAATGCCCTGGGTAAGATGGCTACACTGACATCTGGACTGGAGTTAGCCAGAGTGAGTAGTTAAGTGTTCCTCTTCTCTAGTTTAAAAACTAGTTACATTTTATCTAAAAATTAAATCACAGAAGAACAAGATATCAGCTGGTGAAACTAAAGAGCTTTGCTAAAAATAGTGCTTTAGCAGGCTTTGAAAGTTTATGAGAAGGCTCACAGGCAAGGCAGCGAGGGCATGCACTTACTCTGCAGGATGCATTCCACAAATGCAATCTGTTTCAGGGAAAAAAAGGTGATAGTAGCAAAGTATGAATTTATTAAGTTACTAACCTATTTTTCTCTTGATCCAGTAGCAAAATATTAGGGCCAAGGCGATGGGGCCAAGACAGCCAAGACAGCCAAGCAGCCACTCAGTGACTCCTGGGGTGAGACGCCTGCTTCCATACTCTGTGGGCACTGAGAACAGACCTGCGCATGAACTCCGGTAAGGAAGGGGTTCAGTTTGGAAAACAGACATCTTGTGTGTGGATTGTGTTCCAAAGCTGCTCCTGATGGGGAAGGGTATCTTGTTTATCTAGAGAACCTCACTTCTCACACTGATGGAAGAAGATAGGCATTCAAACTCCGTTCTCCACACCTCTCATGTACATCACCCATGACAGTATCACTTACAGAAACCCTGCCTTTGACACACACGACTGGAAATGCTGATGCTCTCCTAGGATGCTGAGAAAGAGACACTGACCTTGAGAGTTAGAGTATGACCAATACCTGTTAGGTTGAGAGTCACCACCTCGCTGCGCTGAACACCCTGGCCATTGCTGGCTCCACAGGAGTAGTTTCCAGAATGTTCTGCAGTCAGGGACAAAATGAAGGATGCTCCTCCTCCAGAGGGGGCTGAGCTGTTCCCCAGAGTGACATTCTCATGGTAAAACTGGTAGAAGATTGGGGGAGAGCCTCTCAGGGCCTCACAGTGAAGCTCCAGCAGGTCCCCAAGCACAGCCTGGGTCCCAGAGTCCCCAAAGGTAAGGACAGGGCGAGACACTGGAACTGATCAACAGTGAACAATTAGAGAAAGGTGCCTTCATGAGGCAACAGACCCATCATTCCTGCCTATTCTCTCGAGACTCAACCCCACTGAAGTCACCAATGGCAACACAGGGGAGTATGCAGCTTAGTGTGCAATTGCTAGCTGAGACACAAGAGCCGTGTGTGTCATTTACCTCTGACAGTGATAGTCATCAGATCGCTGAGAACAGGGCCATAGCCATTGTCAGCTGCACAGTAGTATTGTTCAGCATCACTTTCCTTCATTTTGATGATCTCAAACTCTGCCGTCAGTGAATGCTGTGTCTTTGTTTCCAGGTTTGAACCCAGGATCCCTCTGTACCAGAAGTATGTTATGTTTCCAGTGGCATTAGCAACAGAGCAAATGAGGACCAGTTTGTTTCCTTCCATCACCCATCCCCCTGGGGGCCATGTCTCTAAGTTCACATCAGAGACAGGGATTCCTGTGGGAACACAAGATAATGGAGAGGACCCTGAGCAGGAAGAATTTCAGAGAGGAGTATGTGTGGTGACCCTGAGAGCAAAGGCTGCTGGCAAAGTCTGTGATTTTAATAGCTTTCACTGAGGCTGGTGTACTGCTGACTTGGAATCATCTTAGATTTGGCTGATAGTCACAGGGTAGGAAAAGCACTCGACCACTACTGTAGAGAATGTGATGTCATCTCCCACCCTAGGATAACACAATTTCTACTACGTTATAGTGATTTCAAGTTCAAGTTATAAATCAAACTGCCAGGCTATTAAGAGTGTGTTTGATCAAATGACTTAATTTCTCTTACATCTAATTTCCATTTGTGAATGTGTGACTATGGTCGCCTTCGGCAGTACCAGAGGTCAGTTACACTGCATGCACAAGGTACTAGAATAAGATTTGCTGTGTGTGAGCTGTTCCAAGTTTTTACAGGTTGGGGTTGATTTTGGCTTACTCATGTTGAATGTTTGAGGCTGTTTACCCCTTTGTAGGTACTAGACATTTGCTTTTGATGACCCTGACATGGAATCACATGGTAGAGGATATACTAAAACATCATTTTTCTGTTGTAGAGTCTCCCATAAGCTCTTGTCCAATAGCCCACTCCACACACTTCCCCCACGAAGCCTTTTCTTGCTGCCTCACCAGGGCAGTTGGCAGCTCCTCCCAGTGTCTGCCTTCTCAGGAAGGAGCGTGGGAGACATCTTTTCTACCCAGCCTCTGACTCTAGAAGAGCAAGCACAGATACTCACGCTGCACATGTATCTGGGCTGCCTGGCTCCACTTTTTGATATTGTGAGTTGTCGCTGCTGCCGAGCACCAGTAAGATTCTGGGTCTTTCTTCCACATGGGGCGGATCTGAAGCTTTGGGGAGGGGCTGCAGCTTGACCCAAGGACCTTGCCATCCTTGAGGAAGCAGAACTGGAGCTGGATACGTGGGCTCTGTGTGAGGACCAGGGTCTTGCAGGTCAGGGTCACAGAGTGACCCTCTGGGGGATGGGAAGGACTGACTTGTAGCACAGGGTGTAGAAATAGCTCTAGAGAAAAGACATGAACACAAACTCCAGGGCAGTGTTCCTGATTAGGCATCTTTTCTGTTCTCAGCCTCAAGAACATACATCTCCCACCACCTCATAGCCATGCGTTTCTCTTGGGTGTGAACCATCCTGCTCCTTCTGTATACCCTAACCCTGTTCAATGGCACCAGCTCCTAGAAGGCAATCTTTACTTGTGGCTTAGATCTCATTATTCTTTTTTTTTTTTTAAGTTTCTGGCATAATTCAGAGCAAGTATATTGAAGTATATTGATGAAGCTTGGTGGTCTAGTAAACTCTCTGTCTCTCTCTCTTTTTCCTCCCTCCCTTCTTTCTTTCCTTCCTCTCTTCCTCCTGCTTTTGTTGTTGTTCAAGAACAACATTTTCTTCCCCTCCTCCTCCTTTTGATAGTACCGAAATCAAGGCAGTAGAGTGTTATGTGTGTGGGCAAGTGTTCTACCATTGGGCTAAAACTGAGCTCACTTTTTTACCTTAGTTATACATCATATTGATAAGGAAAAAAGGTTTCCCTTTTCCTGACATCTCAGACATTACTTTCAAAGACACACACAACAGGGGAATCTGTTGTTATGGAAGCAACACCATGGCAACAAGAAGGGGGTGCAGTTCTCTGTTGACTCTCCCTGACTGCATGTTACAGTTCCTGATGGGGAAAAGGGAGGACACTTGCTTGGAAATTCCCTGAGCCCATCATCCACACAACCGAGATCCCTGGGTTCAGAACTCCTATAAAAACCTCTGCAGAATCCATGAGATGAAATAAAAATTTAATCCCTGCCATAAGTCTTAGGGATAGGTACTTTGGAGTTTTAGGAACTCATTTCTGAATATGTAAAGATGATTGAAGCTGCGCTCTCCCTTCATCTTCCCATCAGCCCATGAAATGCCACAGTCTCCATGGGCATTCGCTTAATTAACCCTTAGAGCCTCTCAATTTAGGAGACATTCATAAGTTTTCCTAAGAGAAACTATTTCTCTTTTCACCAGATGAAAAATACCAAGCCCTGTGGGTCCCTGGTGATACCTAGTTCATGACCTCAAACCCTTCTTACATGAAGGCTTTTTGAAGCATCCTTTTAGATATCAGTTACACCCACAGTTAGCATTTGCTCCAAGTATGGAATAACCCTGCATCTTCTCTTTGTGGCCATCTACAGTCCTCAGATAAACTTCCCAGCATTTGAAACCAGGTTGAGAAAGAAAGGTGTAAGGCACCTACAGGCCTCTCTCCTGCCAGGATCAGCAAAACAAGGAGCAAGGAACCAGACAGACCTCATTGCAAGAGTTTGGGGTTTTGCTTTATAATTCAAGGCTTGTTTCAGATAATTCTCAAGCATCAGAGGTTTTCTTAAAAACATGTAAACCAACTATTTCCTTGTCATTGATGTGGATTTGTATTTCCCTGTAGGCTGTGACTGAGTACCTGGGCTTACAGGAAAAGGGGAAACCAAGCACACAGCACATGTAGTATTAGCACACATGAGTTAAATTTGGATACCAGCCAGGGACCCGGAAGACCAGATGGGGAACCTATGATACCACATTGCTGGGTGCACCAGGCAATCTTTTTTTTTTTTTTTTTAACCTTGTGGCTCATAGTTTGTGTGCAGGAGATCAGTTTAGACCTGGTAGATTTGCATAAACTTCACAGAGAAAATTTCTTCTGGTAAGAAAGTCAATTAAATTTGCATATGCCAGAGACAGACAACTGACTGACAGACACACACAGAGAAAGAGAGGGGGAGGGAGGGAAAGAGGGAGGCGGGCAGGCAGGGAGAGAGAGAGAGAGAGAGAGAGAGAGAGCAGCTACAACTAGAGTGGAGCTACAAATGGCAGGAGGCAGCAGTGTTGCTGGAGTCTGCCTTGACTGGGGACTAATGATAGTGCTGTGCTGTGACTCTGTGACTTCATCTTTTCAGCCACTGGTGGTGCATCCCCCAGCTAAAGAGCACAGAGGGGACCTGGGGCCTCTGAAGAACAAACTCCTTCTAAGTAAATCTCTGATGCTTTCTGCCACTGCTGGAGCCCAGAGGTGGCTCCAGACCAGCTCACCCGGCTGGACAGACACAGGTCACAGCCTGCTCCCAGAAGTCTCTGAAGTTTGTGTCTTGCAGAGGCATGGCTCTTCAGTCATCCACAGGCCTTGTGTGCTGATTGAGGGGACAAGGTACTCTCTAGACTTCGAGGAAGACTGGGAAGCATAACTCACCAGCAGGTTCACAGAGTGGAGCTGGAAAGGAAACCATGCGGGCTGAACCGGAGCAGCAAGTTCACAGATACAGCCAAATTTCTCCAAAGGGCAATCCCTACAGACCCTCTCCTTCCGTGTGCCTCCCCACAGCTCCACCTTCTTCCCCTTCTTCTGCCATCTTCCCCACCTCTTCTGCCCCTAATTCCTTTCTTTGTTCCTTATTTCTCTCCCCATATTCTATATCATCCAGAAAACACACACACACACACACACACACACACACACACACACACACACACACACACACACGGTCCTTTCTGTCTTGTCTCTGTGATGGTGGGAAGATAGTCTCACTCTTAACTGCCTGTCCCTTTGTTCCTCTGCCCTTATCTCTATTCCCTCCTCCTCTTAAAAAGCTTACGTTTCATCTCTGGGCCCACTGCCAGGTGTAACAAAAGTCAAATAAGAGGAATAAAGGAATAAAGGATGTCCATCTCAAGGCATGGGGCCCCAGAAGCTACCAACTTTCCATCAGAGGTTCAGAGAAAGAGGAATTGGAGTTCTTCAAATATTCTCTCCTTTTGATGGTATTATTGTTAAGAATAAGACATTCTGGGGAAAGTGCAGGTTTTGTCACTAGGTCTTAGAGATACAGATATTCTCTCTTCCTCTTACAAGACAGGAGGTTCTGGGAAGTGTGAGATTAATATTCCTTTTCTGTGAGATTGAGATGGTGATTTATAGAGACAAGTGAGTGTGCACAGAGTGCTGGGAGTACTGCCTAAAATTTCTTTAAGAACTAATCAAGATTGTCTTATAATTATGCATTATTTTTATTACACTGGGTTTAAAATGCATACTTGGTTAAATGCTTATTTGAATAATTACTTCCGCATATAGTAGCAAGCAATCAGAGGGAGCAAACGGAACAATCATGTTTGCATTAGTTCATAAAGAAATATGTTTGAATACTTGACTGCCAAGGAATCTACACTAAAGTGGAAGACAACTCTGGCACCAAACGCTTAGAGAGCTTGCAGGAGAGGAGGCAAAAAGATTGTAAGAGCAGAGTTCCAGATACTTTGCTGTGAAATTGTGTATCCAAGGAATAACAGAGACCATGGCATCTCAGCAATATGGCTGCCTAAAGAAGAGCAGAACAATGACAGTATCAGTACACATGCTAATGCAGAAAGGGAAAATGTCACGGGTCCCCAACCCCAGACAAAGAAATACAGGCAAATAGTGATTGCTGAGTGTGTGCAGGAATAGCCTCTTCCAGGGCTGAGGCCCTGGAAGTGATCGGCCCTGGAATTGTATACACACAAGCTACACTTGACTCAACAGATTGTAGTTATGTATTTATGTACATATATGGAACAATAATAATCAAAAAAGGTTATTAATGTGTGAGGGCTAGAGGGAGGACAAGGAAAGGGAAGTGATGTAATTACATTTTAATTTTAAAGTTTTTCATAAAACAGAACATTATTCCAGAAAGTAGTGCTCAAATGAAAAGTAAAGCAGAAAGATACGTTGTTTTGAAGCTTCAGACAGTCCGGACACAGAGTAGCAACCAAGAGAGAGAGAGGGACTGAGAGAGAGGAGAGGAGAGGAGGGAGAAGAGGGGGGAGAGAGGGAAAGAGGGGGGAAGGGAGAGAGAGAAGCAGGAGAGAAGGTGTAGATGGAGAGAGGAAGAGAGGGATAGAGAAAGGCAGGGAGGGAGAGGGGAGAGAAGGAGATGGAGATAGGGTGAAAGAGATTAAGTACTATTTCTAAAGTTTTGACCAGAGGGACCAGAAAAATGGTGATGACATTTATTGAAACAGAAAAGTTATGGGGAAAAAAATGGGTAAATTTAGCATAGTGGTGACAGATGTAGAAATCAAGCTTTTTAAGATGCCTGGTAGATACCTGAGTAGCCATTGGCTACTATTTTAGAATAAGTTAAAGCTGATGAGATGAGTTTAAGCTTAGACAACATGGCACATTAAGTGACAAAGCTGTGTAAATACGGAGAAAAAGATAGATGAAGTCTAGGTCTCCACTTCAAAGCTGTCAACATGATGAGGACAGATTCAGTTCAGCAGAGGCTAAGAGCAGCAGGTGTGAAGCAGAAAGAAAACAGACGAACATAGCAAGTTGAAAGTGTCCCGCAGAAGCAGTGATCCACCGTATCTGCCTCTGAGAGGCTGAGGAAGTGGGACATGGAAATGACCCCTGGCTGAGGCAATGTGGAGGTGGTGGATGATGTTAGCAAGAACAATTTCCAAGGAGTGTTGGGGAAAAAAGGTTGATTAAAGCGAGTTCACAAAAAGAGGCCTGGAATAACTGAACAGTCACCTGGGTCAAGAACGAGAGAGGAGCTCATGGGATAAGACTGAGAGTGTGAAGGCGCCTTTGAAGAGATAGAGGTGTTCTCTGTTTTGTCTGTACTTCAGGCAATGTAACTACACGCCTGGGAAAAAGAGTCTCAGGAGCTTCAGAAAGGCCAGTCTCACTAAAAGTGAAGTCTTAAAAGGCAAGGAATCAGGGAAGCAAATCAAAGTGAGACAGTCATTGAGAGCAGAGGGAAGGGGGAAGGAAATGGTGTGTGAATGGAAAAAATGATTTCCAAGCAAGCCTGTGCATTGACGGGAATAAGTTGGAGTGGGGGGGGGGGATTTAAGGCAGGAGGAGGATCTTGTGTAAGCAGAGACTCCCATCTTTGAGTCAACATAGGTAGCTGGTAGGCATGGTAGTAGAAGTATGGAGACCTTTCTTCCAGCTGTTTTTACTTTTTGAATAAAGTATTAATCAAAATTATAAAACGGGACCAAAAAGGATCATGTTAGAGAAGAAATGAGAAGCTATGGAATAATGAGTGGAAAAACAGGGCTATAGATGTGTATATGAGGTGCTCCAGCAGATCTGAAGATCACCTGTAGTAAGTAGTCAGACAAACCTTTGTTTACCATATCGCTCACCTGTCTGGACACAGTTAAAGCACATGGGGTTGTGTCAGCTGTCTGTGCAGTAGGGTAAGAGACGCAAGAGCTCCCTAAGGTGTGGTTTTGAGCTGCAGCATCTGAGTCCTGTAGGGAGTAGGCCTATCAACGATGGGAAAACAAGCTTGCTGACCACAGAGAAAGTTAACTGTAAGTACAGTGGAATGAGGAGGGGTGAGGAGAAATACTAAAGTTTGACACTGAATAAAAGGAGGTAGAAGAAAAAGAACTGAGAGATGAATTTGGTGTGTGTGTGTGTGTGTGTGTGTGTGTGTGTGTGTACGCATGTGCATGCTCAACTCGTCTATCTGTGTGTGTGAGAGCGAGACAGAGATAGAGGCTATGAAAACAGGAGCATCCCCAGGCCGAAGAAACCTAGTCCCTTAATTCTTGACACCCTTTCACGAACTGCGATCCCCAATCCCAGACTCAAAATCAGTTGTCCAACTCACCACAGATAAACAGCAGGAGCCAAGGTAGCATGAGGGCCAGGCTGGGGACGATAACTTGAAGATGCCTCTCAACAAAAGAAAAGCAGAAAGCAAAACCAAGCTACTCACATGGGAGTCAACAGGTGACTTTGTGGTTTGAGGAAGTCAGGATCGGAAGGTAACCTCAGCACGAGCTTACAGAAATAAAAGTAGAGAGTAAAGTTCTTCAGTGGTCAATCTCGGTTCCTCCTCCAAGAAGCTGAAAAGATGAAGGTGCTCCTTCGTATGGTTCCGTTCAGCTTCATGATCTGGAGAATTTTGTGCATTGGGAGATGAGGGCTTTCTTTTCTTTAAGAACTCACATATGTGGGGGATTTCCAGGAGATGGTTCTGGCTTTGAGTCTCACTGAGCTTTAGTCCCACAGCACATCGTCATCTTTGGTTAAGGATGTCTACTTAAGTGTCTGGTCAGATACACCCTTCTTTCCTCAGAGCTTCACCTGAGTCTCACCCTCAACGGTGTCTGATTCAGTGACTGGTTATTCCCAGGTTATGGTCACTGTTTGTAGTTGTTGCATATGCTGATATACCAGCTATTTGCATAGATATCACTCCCAGTTTTACATTTCCAATGTCCCAACAAACGAACATGAAGCGCTTTTAAAAAGTCATAGGAAATTATAAACTGGGAGAGGTTGGAAGTAAAATGCAGGAATTGAGTGTGCACCAGTTAGTGTCTGCGTACTGGGAGAAGCTCAGCATTATCACTGACTGATTTCTGTGACATCCGAAATCATTCCTCTCCTTATCCCAGTCAGGGTCTGTGCAATTCCTCCCATTCTGTCACCAGTCCTTTGTTGCCCGAAGCGTGTGTGTGATTCACATTATGGATTAAAGGGGAATGAACTATTTTATTTTTCAACATTCCTTGAATCTTTAATCATCTAAGATTAAGGATAGCCAGGCAATCCATGAAGGCTGAGTTGTTGGGGAGGACTGAGAAGTCCATCTAAGCCTGGAGATCAACCAGTTCCAAAGATAAGGATTGGGAAAGAAGTGAGTGGAGATGGATACACTCAACTTCAAGAAAAAGATACTGGCATTGGCAACCCAGCTAAATGTCCAGGGAAATTGCTGGACACCAGATGCTTGTGCCGGCAGCTTTGATTACTGCTGGGGAAACACATGTGAAGATGTCTGCCAAATTTAAACTTTTAAGGCCCAAAACAAAAACTACTAGCCCTTGAAATGCAGAAACCGGAAGTCTGGGAGAGAGGGACTTTTGCAACATTGTTTCACATCCCTTTTCTTGCTTGTCCTGCTCCAACTCCTTTCAAATTTTGATTATAATATATTTTCACACTGTCCTATAGACTTAAACACATTTAAAAATATCTGCCCATTGGAGTACAATTAGGATGAACTAGAATGAAGTCATCATAAGTATACAATGTAATGATTTTTGACAACGGTAATCTGACATAAATACAATCTTAGTAATGGTTGTAGAATAGTGTGTGTGTGTGTGTGTGTGTGTGTGTGTGTTATGAAACATGGGTCACAGTCTGCACCCAGAGGTGTGAATGGAAAATTTTGGAAGGAAGCTGTGTCTACAAAGGCTGATTGACTACAGCTTCAGTGATGTAGAGAGGTTGGAATGTTGCCAAGTCCAGGGCCAAGTTATTTTGGAGCATCTTTGTCTCCATTAATAAACCACCTATTTCTCTCCTCTATACATGAACTAACCACTTTTGTCAGCATTATGTAAACCCTTTGGGAATTTATGAATAGACACCTAGCTTCCATCATCCAAATACCTAATAATTCTGTCAGGCTTCCCTGTCCTGCTATATCCTGCCTACTTCATGTACCTACATATTTGAACATGTACATGTACCAATGTATCAAAAAAGTATGTTTTATGATTTTCTTTGTTCTATAAAAAGTTAATGAAATTGATACCTCTTTGGAACATATTATTTTGGGAAAAAACCTGAATCTGTGCTCCTGGGCCATGATCACTCATTTTCACTCCAGAATAAACCATGTCTTTATTCCTTTGAGGTTGGAGATCTTTCCTTCTGCTACAGTTCTAGGAGACAGGAGAGAGTTCCTATTCTATTGTCTCTCAGGGATCTGGGGACAGGGTTTTGCTCTGGCCCATTCTTGCTTAGAAAATACTATTCAGCTGCAGCCACTCACCCTCAATAAGTCACTTAACACAGCCAAATAAACACCAAAAACAAACAAATAACAAACTAACAAAAACAAAAAAAAACCCAGAAAATGGGTATTTATTCAGTGAGACAATTTTAGGAGGGACAAGAGATACAATGACCTCCCTAGTTTATCTTTAGGGCCTCAAAATGAGATTGAAGTTTAAATAGAGGGCCAGTGATGTGCTCATCTAAGCAGTCCTGGTCAAGGTGTGGTCCCTCCCACCACTGACCCATCCGTGTCTGGGCTTGAGTCTCATCCTGTAAAATAACATGGGGAATCTCTTTCCATGAGACAAGTCACAGATGAGCAGCCTTCATCTTCCTGACTACTCCTATTCAAACCAGAAGTTTGTCTTACTGTAAAAAACAAAACAAATGCATCAGAGGTAGCCTGTGTAGATGGCTAAGTCCATGCTTCCATTAACAAGATATTAGGGAAGAGGAAGCTGCCAAATGAGTCTCTGTTGTGGGACATAGATGTAAGAGAAAGGGAGTAAAGGCAACACTGTAAGGGAATAATAAAACCCAAGTAAGTATGGCTAAGGTTTGGACTCTAAAGTACATGGCCAGTGAGAAGCTAAGAAAGGGAATCTGACGGTACATGAAGAGGTACAGGTCATAAACTGCTGTGGAGCAAGGGGCATCATGTTTCTTCAGGGATGAACTCTTTGATAAGCAGTGTTTTGATCACTTGACACAAAGAGAGAACCATGATTGTGAAATTGTGTCTCTAAGTCCAACCTGTAGGCAAGCCTGTTTGACATTTTCTTAATTAGTGACTGACATGGGTGGATCTATCTCAAAGCAGGTAGTGCTACCCCAGGGCAGATGACCCTTGGATATCTAAAAAAGCAGGCTGAGCACGTCCTGAGGGGCAAACCAGTGAGCAGCACCCCCCCCCCAATGACCTCTGCATCAGTTCCCGCCTCTAGGTGCCTGCCTTGAGTTCCTGCCCTGTCCTCCTTGGATGATGGACTAGAATCTGTAAGATGAGGTGAATCCTTTTCTCTCCAAGTTTCTTTTGTCATGGTGTCTTAAAACATCGATAGAAACCCTAACTAAGACACAAGTGATCAGTACTGAACATGAATATATGCATCGGTGACACCAAATACACTCAGTAAGGTATATATATTATATACATTAATTGTAAAATATATATGATTGAATTAAATATAAACATGCTTAACACAATAAAAACTATTTTATTAATCAGTTTAATATTAACTCATTATATATTATATGTATTAATTGTACTACATATCACAATTAAAGAAAAAGAGGTCATGAGTTTGAGAGGGAGTTAGAAGGGGAAGGCATGGGGGGCTGGAGGGGGTAGAAGAAGGGGTAGAAATGATGTGAATATGGTATTCACAAAGGAAATTCTGAAACAAAATTTAAATATAAAATAACAGAGTTTGAGAGTTGGGGGTAGGGGAATGGGAGTGGAAATGGGAGGAATTAAAGGGAGGATGAATAAGATAAACATATATTGTTTGACGTTTTCAGATAATAGAATATTTTTAAATTAAATATGATTACTGTAATTAATTCTTCTCAAGTAAATCTTATTTATTGTTTCTCAAAGTAATCTTTGATTATGGTGTCTGTAACTTTTTTCTTGTATACTCTTTATTTAGAGTGGAGTACTACTACCTTCCCACTCATTTTTCTCTTTCCCCAATGACATTTTCATCACCTCCATTTCTAAATTCCTTTTTCATTTATTGTTTGGCATAAGATGTTTAAGGCAGAGATGACTTGGTCCTTCATCCAGTTAGGATGTCGTATCAAATATATGTGTTAATGTTAGTTTTAAGTTTAGTTAAAAACATCACATTACCATTAAATAAAAATGACATTATAATATGTAATTTAAATAATTTAAAAACTCTACTTCCTGACCAAGAATTGGCCTGACAGCACTAAGAAATTACAAAAGAGAACCTGTCTCTAGGTGCAGACTCGGCCTAGCTCTTTTTGGTGGCCCTTCTCAGACTTCTCTTTAGCCCATCTCCATTCTTTGTGTCAGCCACAGATAGCTAGACACACTTGCTACCAGGTGTTCCCAGTCGCCATACAAGGCTGAGACCCACAGAAGCAAATTTCACTATCCTTCTTGTCTCCGTCATCTCACACTCGCTCTGCAGCAGTCGACTCAGAGGGGCCCTTCCTCCCATTCAAACTCCATCCATTCACTTCAGATTCTGCCTTAGGTGCAGACCCAAGGCACCCTAGCCCTTTATCCCTGTCTCTCCAGACATATTCTTTGTCCCACTGCAGCCTGCTTGCATAAGCCCTTGTTCCCACCATACTCCAAATCTCTGAGGACCTTACCTCTTGGGGAGAACTGGATCTGCCTAGCTCATTCCTGTAGCTCTTTTTAGCCTTTTCTCCTAGCTCATCTTATGGTTCTCTGGTATACACTGAACTTCAGAACCACAGACACCACATCATCTTAGGCTCCAGTGAGGGCTACAGCAATCAAAATATAGAAACTTACCAACAAAGACAAGACCAGATATCAACACCTAAAATCACCTCCATGCTTATAACTCCAGTTTCCTAGATTCCGGCATGAAAACCCAAACATGAACAGCTAAGACAGTAAAACCGTATGCCAAAACCAGTAACCCTGTTTACAGTAGGCCATGAATAATGCCATACAGCCAAATCACAAGACATGGACTTCAAACTAACAATTATGAATATGTCTGAAGACCTTAGAGAGGATTTTAATAAAGTCTCTTAACGAAGCCTGTGAAAACTCAGAGTTGAAAGAAATAGGGAAAACAAAGACAGGAAAGTGGGATTTAACAAAGAAATAGAATCACACATACAAAATAAAGCTCAAACTGAAATAACACTGGAATTGAAAATTTTAGGATGCTGAACAACAACTTCAGAGGTAAGTTTCACCAACAGAGTACAATACATGCAAGAGAGAATCTCAGGTGCTGAAGAAAGGTAGAAGAAATGATCAAAGAAAATGTTAAATCAAAAATAATAATAAATAAATAAGTAAAAGAAAGAAAGAAAGATCCAGAAACAAACAGAAACAAAACATCTGGGAAAACAGAGATACTATAAAAGGGTCAAATTTATGAAAAATGAGGCTAGAAGAAGGAGGGAAAACTTGAGTCAGAGAAACAGAAAACATTTTTTAAAAAAGCATAGACGAAAACAATGCACAAAGTAAAGAAGGATGTGCTTATCAGAGTTGAAGAAACACAGAGAAATTTCTCATAACACATAATAAACCACTAGATGAAAAGAATGAAGAAAGGATATAAAAAGCTTCAAGGAAAAAAGACCAAATACCATATAAAGGCAGGCACATTAGAATAGCACCTCATTTCTCAGTAGGGACTCTGAAACCCAGAAGGTCTTGAACAGGTTGTTCTACTAGTTCTGAGAGACCATGGCTGCAAGCCCAAACTATTATACACAGGAAAACTATCAGTCATAATTGATTGGGGAAAAAAATATTCCAAGATAAAACCAACTCTACACAAGATCTGTCTACTAATCCAGCACTATAGAAGGCACCAGAAGGAAAGGTACAGCCTGAAGAGGTTGACCGTACTCAAGAAAACACAAGGAATAAATAATTCAGACCAGAAAAATCAAAGGATGGGAGGAGTCCACACAATAACAACAAATTATCAGGAAGCATTAAACACCACTCTTTGATAACTCTCAGTATTAATAAACTAAATTCTCCAATAAAAAGACACATGCAAAAAAGATTTGATAAGAAAACAGGATCCATCTATATGCTGCTTCCAAGAAACACACTTTACTATTAAGAACAGAATCACTTCAGAGTAAAAGGATGGGAAAAGGTATTTCAAGAAAATAGACCCAAGAAGCAAGCAGATGGAGCCATTTTAATATCTGAAAAAAAAAAAAAAAAGATTTCAAACCAAAACTAATCAGAAGAGATAGGAAGGACAGTACATACTCATCAAAGAGAAACTCCACCATGAGGAAACAGAAATTCTAAACATTTATTATGCACTAATGCATAAAAGAAGCACTACTCTAGCTTAAATAATAACCCCCACACAAATAGACAGGTCATCCAAAAAAAAAAAAAAAAAAAAAAAAAAACAAAACTAAACAGAGAAATTCTGGAGTTAATGTCATAAATAAAATGGACCTAGCAGATATTTACAGAATATTTCACCCAAACATAAAATAATACACCATCTTCTCAGTACCTCATGGAACTTTTCCCAAAATTGACCCCATAATTACACACAAAGCAAATCTCAATAGATACAAGAACATTGAAATAACACCCTGTATCCACTCCCACCACCATGACTATCAACTACAACAGAGGCTTGGAAACAGAGTAACAAGCTTACAGAGGCTAGGAAACAGAGTAACTTACTACTGAGTGAAAAATGGGTCAAGACCAAGAAAGAAAGTAAAAGCCTTAGAACTGAATGAAAATGACAACAACACACCCAAGCCTATTGGACATAATGAAGGCCGTTCTAAGAGGCAAGTTCATAGCACTAAGTGTCTACATAAACAATAAAAATTGGAGAGATCTCATGCTAGTAACTTAATAGTACACCTGAAAGCACTAGAACAAAGGAGAAGAAATAACACCACAAAATAACACACACACACACACACACACACACACACACACACACACACACACACAAACTCAGGGCTGAAATTGGTACAATAGAAGCAAACAAACAAACAAAAACAATACAAAAAATCAACAAAGAGTTGGTTCTTTGAGAAAATCAATAAGACTGACAAATTCTTAGCCAAATTAATTAACAGTCAGGGAGAGGAGATCCAAATTAATAAAATTAGAGATGAAAAGGCATGCATGACAGCAGACACTGAGGAAATCCAAAGAATCACGAGGACATACTTTAAAAATCTGTATTCCACCAAACTGGAAACCTAAAAGAAATGAATGACTTCCTTGATATAAAGTTAAATAAAGATCAGATAAATAACTTAAAAACATCAATAACACTAGTGAAACAGAATCAGTAATTTAAAAAATTCAAATATAAAAATAATGAAGCCTTGGACCAGATGGATTCAGTGCAGAATTCTACCAGACCTTCACAGAAGAATTGACTCCTAAAAATATTCCACAAAACAGAAACTGAAGGAACATTTCCTAATTCTTTTTTATGAGGCCACAGTTACCTTGATACCTGAAGCACACAAAGACCCACCCACAAAAAAAGAAATTATAGATCACTATCCCATATGAACAGATATAAAAATTTTCAATATAATTCTTGCAAACTTTATCTAAGAGCACATTAAAAAGATCTACCATGATCAAGTAGGTTTCATCTCAGACATGCAGTTAAGTCATGGTTCAACATATTAAATCAATAAATGTAACCCACCATATAAAGAGACAGAATAACAAAAAACTGCATGATCATCTCATTAGATGCAGAAGAGACCTTTGACAAAAATCCAACACCCCTTCATAAGATCAACAATTAATAGATGGGACCTCATGAAGTTAAACTTTTATATGGCAAAGGACATCATTGTTCAGACAAAGCTGCAGGCCACAGGATGGTAAAGATCTTCACCAATTAGACACCCAGTAGAGGGTTAGTATATGAAATGTATAAAGAACTAAAAATACTTGGAATAAAGAAGTCAAACAAGCCAGTTTAAAAAAAATGGGGCACAGAACTTAGCAGAGCTCTCAAAGGTTGAACACAAATGGCTGATAAATACCTAAAGAAATGTTCCCCACCCTTAGTCACCCGGTATATGCAAATAAAAACTACTTCAAAATTTCATCTTATATAAACCAGAATGGTCAAGATCAAGAAAACAAAAGGCAACCCGTACTGGTGAGGCTATGGGGAAAAGAGAACACTTATCCATTGCTAGTAGGAGTGCAAACTTGTACAGTTGCTGTCATTGTGGAGATCAGTTTGGTGTTTGCTCAGGAAATTGGTAAGAGATCTAGCTTAAGATCCAGCTACACCCAAAGGACTCTACATACTTCTGTAGAGATACTTGATCACCACGTTCACTGCTATTCTATTTAAAATAGCCAGAAACTCTTAGCAGTGTGGACATCCATCAACTGATGAATAATAAAACTGTGGTACAAACACACAATGGAATATTATTCATGTATTAAAAATATAAGTTTAGCAGAAAATGGATGAAGCTAGGAAACTCATCCTGAGTAATGTAACCCAACCCACCCCCACACAAAAAAGCAAATACTGTTACATGTAAGGAGTAGTTTTTCCTCTGCCGGTCCCACCGCCATGTCAGCCCCAAATAACACACAGAGATGCTGTAATAGATATAATTCTGTTGGCCAGGCACTAGTTTCTTATTGGCTAGCTCTGTCTTAAGTATTAACCCATTTCTATTAATCTAAGTAGTTCCATGTGGTCTCATCTTACTGGGGAGTGGGGCCGGCCTCTGGTCTCCTCAGTCTCTCCATGTTGACTCCTTACTACTTCCTCTCTCCTCCTTGTTTCCTAGTCCCACCTATCTTGCTTTCCTATTGGCCAACAGTGCTTTATTCATTAACCAGTATGAGAAACATATTTACAGAATGACATCTCCCATCAGTTACATTTTCTTGTATCTGTGAATGTTAGTTTTTAAGCATTCAGCAGGCAAACCAGGGCACTAGTGGTCAATGTCTTGGAGTGGTACTCCTGTTATAGGCACGTGTCCTCATGCTATTGTATCTGTGAATTTGGTTGTATAAATGTAATGCAATATCTGCCTTACTAACAACTGGCTTATCTGGTCAACCTCAGCGAATGTGCATGGATCATCATTTCATTAATCTGAAATGAGTAAACTGCTTGGGGTTCTTGGTTAGAAGTACTAAAACCAATACCAGACAACTCAGTTATTTTTTTTTTTTAAATTACTGACCAGTTTGTTACATAAAGTCAGGAATGCCACTGGATCCCAGATTTGGTCTCATGTGTTTCTGTCCATGCATGTCTTTTGTAATTGCCTGCATGTCTCCACAGAAGGGTTTCTTTTGATTTTCTGTTCTTTGTCATATGTGCGAAATGTCCACTCCTAGGTTCAAAATAACTTGTTAGAAATACACTTACCTGGAGAAGCCAATCTACTTTGTGTCACAATTTCCAACCCCTGGAAAGTGCTAATTAACCCTCAGGACAGCTGGAGCTACCTACAGGACCTAGGAACACAGGACTGTACTGCTCAAAGAGTTTGTGAAGATATCTTCATGAGTATGAGATGGCCATACATATTTAAAAATGCAACACCAAGAAAATAAAATCAGCATATCAAGAAATACTTGCATACTCATGTTTATTGAAGTATAATTCACAATATCTAAGATATAGAGTCAGTCCTTGAACAAGGGAAGGGGATCAGCTGTGAAGAAAATATCCCCTTCCAAATGTACATCCCAGCGGCCATCTTTCTCCAACTAGATCCCAACTCCTGAAGCTTCTACCACCTCCCAGTGGGATTCACCAGTGATTAATCCGCTCATAAGGGCCCAGGGATCAGTATCACGTGGTGGTGCAGTCAGATCCCTCAGAATACTGCTGCATCAGACGCCAAACTTCAAACATATGGGTTTGGGTAGACATCTAGAACTCAACATTTGAGGGCTACGGAAACCATTCTGCTACTTTCTCTGAGAGATAGCAGAGTAGTGAAATATTATTATTATGATCACTTTACTTGCTATACAATTTTAAAAGCATTCGGAAAAGTCTGTTCTCTCCCCATCTCTAAAGTACCGTCCACTCATATTCCCTTTCAAGACCTCCTTTTGCTGCCACATCCTCAACGTTGGTTACAGACGGGTTGTGCCTTAATCATGGCCTGTACAACAGGTCACATGTGAGGCCCAGGAGTTGTAGGTAGTCTGGGAAAAGAAAGTAAGGCATAGGGCAACTGGAAACACTTCTTCAGCAAGGGAACACAGCTGCTTGTATCTTGAGATGATTGTGGAGGAGTGTACCCCTGTGATAGTTAGGAGCACGTTGTTCAGACTCAGGGAAAAGTGGCTAACATCCATGGCCAGTTATAACCGCTTGGAGAATCAGGGCCTAACTGAACAAGCAGCAGGGATCCAGGTCAGGAAGGGATCCAGATTACACATCAAGGTCCGGGATATTTTCTGTAAAGAGGAAAATGCATCAAGGGTGATAACAGGTCTGGAAACATTCGTTCCCCTCAAGCTAAAATGGCCTAGGAAAGAGGATCAAGGGCTAGAACAGGAAAAGGTTAACCCACACATGTATCCCGCAATGATAGGAGAGAGGTCACAAACTGGAGCTGTGCTCCAAAGGTACAACAGTTATGTCTCTTGTGAGTCACAAACAGTTCAGGCCTTCTGCAGTGACAGACAATTGGTGCCAGCCTCCCCAAGGATGCCAAAATCCACAGGTGCAGAAGTCTCCCATAAAGTATACAAAAGTTTGCATACAACCTAAGTGCATCCTTTTATGTGCTTTAAATCATTTCTAGATTACTTATAACACTGAATGCAATACAATAAGGTAAGTCTGGGTTTTCATTACAGGTGTAGCTTTGTTTTTCAGATAGTTCTGAATCCATGGATACAAGATTCAGAGAAAAAGATGGTTGATTATCCTTATACACTCCCAAATATTTTTGAGGTAAATGGGACAAGAGTCTTTTTGTCTGAATGTCAGAGTAAAGCAATTTTCAGAGAGTACATAGTTCAATGTTTTCTGGGCATTAACTGTTCCCCCAGACTTTCTTGATTAAAATCAGTGATCAGCTCACTTTAGAGTTAGTTACTTAAAGCAAAGAGTTCCACACCATCACCTCTCCATCCTAATTCCATAGCTGGATTTCAGCCCTTGAGCTAGAGTCAGGGATTGCACTTGAACTTCCTTTCCTTGGCTCCTGCCAGGAGGCCAATAGTTAGAGCTGGGATCCTATAGCCTTTTGCAAGACACAGACATTCTCAAAAAACAAACAAAAACTCCCTGACAGCCACCTGGTGCTCCCACATACACACTGGAAATAAGGGTTAGGAAGCTTAGCAGAGTGAGGTCAAGACACCTTTTACAGTTAGCTCAAATTTAGGACTTGAAGACTGGGGTCACCTCATAGAACTAACCTGGGACCGAAAGCGAAGACTAATTAATGTAGTTCTGATGTAGGATTTAAAAGCTGTTTTTGTGGTTTGGAAAACTGTTTTCTTGACTTACTTTTTTCATGCTTAACATAAAGACATTGATCATCTCCTCTTATTCTTAAGTTTCATAATTGTATTTTTAAAATACATATCCTTGCCCATCCCCAACTCCTCTCTCACTCCAAAGAAAACAAAACTACTTCTAGAAGCCTTGGTCTCTACCCTGGAGGCACAGATAAACTATAGTGCACATACAGCCCTGGTGGAATTACCCTGACCACTAGAGGGCGGCTGCCTGTCTTCCTCCTTCGTCTCTTGGAAGTGCAACCTTAGTAGGTCAGTAGGCTTACCTGAGCATATTACTGCCACATCTTCCTTGTGGGTACAGTCATGATACCCCCACAGCCTGTGCCGGCAGGACTCCAGGGACTGCTCTTCCCCCGAACATACAACATCATCCAGCCAGATGCGGCCAGCCCCGGGTCCATAGCTTTTTCTGGCTTTGAAGGAGGCAAAGAGGGACATCCCACAGCCCAGCTGCTTGCATACCACTTGGTCTTCCTTCTCTCCCCAGCCATCGTCACAGACAGAGCCCCATGTACCCTTGTGTAGCACCTCCAACCTCCCAGAGCAGGGGCTGTCTCCTCCTACTAGCTTCAACTCAAAGGGATCTGCAGGTTGAAGGAGGGAGGTGATAGCATAAGAGATGAAAGGAAAAGAGAGAGAGAAAAAAATAAGATTATGTGCATGGTTACCAAAACCCTACAAGTAAGTTTGAAACTCTTTATGTGGTTCTCCTTCCCTAAGTCTCTTACCATTTTCAAATCCTGTGTCCAGGTCTGTTTCTCTAACTAGAATATTTTCACACACATATATACTGTATTCATTAATGCATATTATTTATAGGTGCATAATATGTATAAAGGAATTTCTAGTGGTTGTTACAAACCAAAGAGCTCAGCAGACATACCCTAGTTACAGCATTTAGTATCGTTATTCATAGTATGATTCTGCAATGCACAATTTTTGTTTTCCTCTACAAAGGGAATTATCCTTAAGAGAATTGGCCAACCTACACACTTGCCTTTTAGTGAATGAGCGGTTTTGCAAATATCGTTTTCCCGGATTTCCACGTAAGTGAATAGACCTCATCTCTGGATGCAGGGTCATTATCTTCCCTTACCTTCGCATTCCATCCATGCGTCCTCACTGTGGGTACAGTTGTTCTCCAAGGGCTTAAAAGGGCAGTCCCTGAGGGTTGCTTCTTGTCCAGAACATGACATCTGGCTCATCCAGATGGGTCCTTTGCCCTGAGCCATCTTGTTGCAGCCTCTGTGGGTCAGTAGTGCCCGCCCACATCCCAGCTGCCTGCAAGCCACCTTCGAGGCCCGCAAGTTCCAGCCTGCTTTGCACACACTGCTCCACTGCCCCTGGTGTAACACCTCCACTCGGCCCTGGCAGTGCCCTGGGCCATCCACCAGTCGCACATTCTCCGGGGTGAAAGGGACATCATTGTCTGGGTCTGGAAAGAAAGGGAGGAACAGTGTCTGTTCCATGCCAGAACAAGGTCGTCTCAGAGAAGGGAGTCCGATGACACACGGCTCAGTTCTTGGCCGTCAGCACAAGACTACTAGAGTAGTAAGCACTCCGTAATGGATGGTGGCAAGGGAATGAAGTGATGGTTGCTCAGTCCCTAGGTAAATCATAATCATTTCTATAGCGTTTTAGTTCCTCATATTATTTCCATATTCAATTTCTTACTGCTCCTCACAAGAGGCAGCTAAAATTATATTAATATGTAGATTTAAATATTAATAAATACACGTATTAACATGAAATGTCAAAATATTTTGGCTTGATGTTGGAATAAATCAAGTATTCCAGACTAATGCTTCCAAACCCCGACTTTCTTAAAAAATAGGAGACCTTAACACGGGGGGGAGGGGTTCACCTTTTTTAAAATGATAAATCCTTCAAAAAGGAGACAAAAAGAAGGGGCGGAGCCAGCCTTGCAGTGATGTCACAGTCTCTGGAGAAAGCACACAAAACTGTTCATTCATAGGATGCTGATTACACAGAACAGTGAATGAACACGCTACATTGTGTCCATTTAGCCCCGTAAGTGCACTGGTTGTACATTTGTATGTCTGTGTTCATCTGCCTCTGAGATTGCTTTGGCTTCCTACCAGCACCTCCTGTCTCTCCAACTAAGCCAACAGACAACCTGAGAATTGAAATGTTCACAAGAGCACATATGATTTCCCATGTGCTCTCCCATAACTCTGCCCCAGCTCCAGACACAGGCACTGAATAAATGTTCAGTGGTGATGGATCTGTTTGCATTTGTGTGAATAAGAGAAATCAGACCTCATAGCTAAGTGGAAACTAAGAAAGAAGCAATAAGGATAATAATTGTGGGTATTATTTTATCCAAGTCCCTCTCACAGTCAAGAAAGTGTGCAATGTAAAGGATGATGTTGCCATCATTCACTGCAGCACTGTGTGACAGTCCATGAGGAAATAAAGACTAACAGAATGGTCACACGGGCTATGGGCTACAGGAAGATGGTCCTTGAGTACCCTATACTTACTCTCACACTGTGCCCCGGCATCTTCTTCATGTAGGCAATCAAAAACTTCCTCATCTTGCTCACATTCAGTCAGCGTGTCTTCCATCCCACTGCAGCTGACGCTTTGAATAAGAACTTTTTGCTTTGTGGGCGCTGCTGGCTTATATAATGTACCACTTGGGGTTTTTTTGGCTGCTCCACAATTCAGCTCCCGGCATACCACAGCCACATCATTCAGGTCCCAGTCATCATCACACACAGTCCCCCACTGGCCATTTCGTTCTACCTCCACTCGCCCTTCGCAGCGGTGAGGACCTCGTACTAGCCGCACTTTGGGTGGAGCCTCTGCAAAGAGATGAGATATTAGGAGGCCTCAGAGAAGCAAGGGTGTGCTTGGAGTATATGCAGTCACTGTGGGGCCCACACCTTTGACAGGCAGCATGGAGAAACTGGAGTCAGGATAGGAGAGGTAAAGGAACTTCAGGATATGTTTATGATCTTAATGGTACTCAACCAAGAGATGCCATTTCAAGATGCAGATATACTGATATCCTTATTAGGCTGATGATCGAGACAAAGAAGCTGGCTGAAGACTTGGCAGAGATTTTAGACCCTCTAGTGATCAGAATGAGAGGATCCGTAAATGTGTTTCCTCATCACTATGGGCCCCAGCCCAGAACAAAAGGGTAAAGACGATATTTTTGTGATTCTTCTATTTTTCATTGGCAGAAGCCACACTGTCACCCCTGGGAATGGTGCATGAATATTACAAATGGAGCTCTTAGAAGGCAAAGCCCTTTGTAGAACCCCATCCATTTGGCAAGTGTAGTGAGATATTCACTCTGTCCGCACCTATTGCACTGATCACGCCCACTGGGGGTGGGGTCAGGCGCAGACATGACCTGGGGGAACTAGGTCTGAGGGAGGGGACCCTGGAGGGCTCTCTTGCTTGCTGGACAGAGACAGGGAGCATCTGGAGGCATCCTTGGGACTGGAACCTGCTGGCGTTCATCTGTCTCTGTCGTAAGTTATATAAACATCTATTCAGCCTAACCGGTTTTTCCGATCCTTATTATTCCATGCTATCTGGTGTCAGAAGTGGGGTTTAGATTTCCACGGATCTGGGGGATCAGGTCTCACCCAGGTGGTGGCACACCGGCCGTGCTGCTTCATTCCCTGACCAACACTCCACTGCCCCCATGTTCTGCAGTTCCATGCTCTAAGTGCTCACAGGCTTCTGCGTCGACTTGAGGGCTGCAGCTGCTGCGAGTCCGAGCTTCCTTCCCCGAGCCTCTGATGCCACCCGAGCTACTGTGCACAGTGCTCTGGGCAGCCACCCCCCAAAGCCGCTGTGGGCACTATGCGGTGTGCCCCGAGACTTATCCTCCCTCAAGTGGCTCCAGCAGTGCAGATAACTGCGCTACTGCTCCTGCAGCTGCTGCAAGTTTGCGCTGTAGTTTAGCGTCAGTCACTCCACTACAGCCCTGTCCCTCTGTATGTATACTTTTACTTATGTTCAAGACATTTTGTATATTGATACAATTTAGGACATTTCATCATGCTACATTATACAGCTCTACCTCTGGTCAAGACATTTCTACTCTATCTCTGTTTTAGAGATGTACATGTTATATGTACATAGGTATATTGCTTAAGTATTTGTCCCTGCTTTATCCAGGGAAGTTTCAACCAGTTTATAGCTCTGTTCCTGAGTATTACAGATTATCTTCACCCATGTTTCCTATACCTATGAAATTAGTCAAACATAGACGCTTAATCTTCAAACACTTCACAGACCTACAGAACTTGGCATTTAAATGTTTTAATATTAGTACTCCGTTGACATGAGACACTATTGCTCCTGACAGCACTGCACATTTCCCAAAAATATGTTGGGCACTGATGTCGTTCCTTCCAGAGTCTCCTTGGCTAATGAATGGCCTCTTGGGTAAAGAACTGCCCCCACCGCGACCACTGATTTGGATGTGCTGTCCTACTGTGCTTGCAGGAGACAAACACAGAAGACTGCTGAACCTTGCCAAGTCAGGGTAAGACAACCTTTCTACCTCCCTACTTCTGTAGTGTTCTGTCAGACACTCTAGGCATTAACCAAAACTGGTTGCACCAACGTTGCTGTGAGACTCTGGGTGACTGTCCAGGTAGCCTGCTGTTCTGTCCTCACTGCACCATTTGGAAGTTGCCCATCCACACTTCCCACCTACCCTAGTATCGTTATCTTCCTTCTCAGGTCTTGATGAGATTGAAGATTAGACTATCACAATTATTATTTTCTCTTCCTAGTTAGGTATATTAGGTACTAGGCTTAAGCTTTCCAGCTTAGGACAACTCTATTGTAAACTCTGTTATGCCTTCACCCTAGGACTAGATATGTAGGTCTTAAGTTTGTATGTTTTTTATTTTCCTTTTCTTAACATACTTGTTATTCACTGTTTTTGTATATAGTTTTGTATCAAGCCTAAATCTTTTCTTTAGACTAAAAGGAGAATTGTAGTGAGATATTCACTCTGTCCATACCTGTTGCACTGGCCATGCCCATTGGGGGTGGGAACAGGTGTGGACATGACCTGGGGGAACTAGGTCTGAGGGAGGGGACCCTGAAGCGCTCTCTCACTTGCTGGATGGAGACAGAGAACATCTGGAGGCATCCTTGGGATGGGAACCTGTTGGTGTTCGTCTGTCTCTGTTGTAAGTTATTTCTCTGGAATAAACATCATCTCTTCAGCCTGCTTTCCCCGTCCTTATTATTCTGCAATAGGCAAGGACCTATGGAAACAATACTGTAAACTCCTGTATTTATTTTAAGGAGCTCATGTGCTTCAGGCTTCTCTAACTTTTTCTTGCTTAATCCTATGATAATTTTTAGTTTTGTTTTGCTAGTCATAATTAGGTCTGAGTTTACTGGGAACAAAAGCCTCTACAGAAAAATTTCTGATATGCTACAGAAACCAGTTTCTCCTGTTGCCTCTGGCTGCCTCTGTAGTCATTCTGAATAAGCAGGAGGAACTCACTAAGGTTAATGATTATTGCTTATTTAATTCCAAAAAGAGAAAGATATACTCCAAAGAACTTAAGAATCAAGAAAACACTTTCTTAAAAGATGGCATCAAAAACCTTATAGGAACATAGAAGGAAAAAGATATAGGACATGAAATGTCAGACATCTGTCTGGCACCAGGACACGACTTAGACTTTTTAAATATCAAAGTATCAACAAAGGACTCTAAACTCCCAGTTCTCGTAAAAGAAAAACATGTGCAGAAATTGTCAAGAAGGATGGAAGTTTAAAGAGTTTGATATTAATCATTACTATTATGAGAACTTATAAAGAATAAGATTATGACTGCAATCTATATAATAATAGTGACACACAGATTACTCAGAAACTGGTATACACCTGAAAAATGATAATGATACTCTAGGCATCCAATATACTCAACTGATTTCATATTGTTAAGAACTAATCACAGGGTTTAAATTTCTTACTTTGTAACCACATGTTTGCTCCTGGCTAGGGCACAATATGAATAAGATGTACCCAGGTAGATACAAAATATTTGGTTTGCTATATAATGACATGAGATAAAGGTCAATGGCATCCAGGGAGTGGGAAAGAAGAGAAACTAAAATGTTAAAGAGTCTTGTAAAATGATTAAAGAGAAATTATTTGAAACTACTCATACTTGAATGCATTAGGACTTGGATGAATAAAGACAGCCTGAGTTAGTCGGGGCCATCAGTTTGGAAGACAACCAGTGATCAGACTCCTCATTTCTCACAGACTTCACACATCTGTCCTGTGGAGCTGGGCTCTGGCATTTCGTGATTTTCTCTTGTGGTAGCCAGATTGAGATAGTGGGGATACTTTTCTTCTTTCTGCTCTCCCCTCACCTCTCCTGCTTTCCTCCACATTCCCCTTCCTCTTCTACACCCTCCTCCTCCTTTCTCTTTCCCTCCCATGCTGTTTCCTACAGCATCATCCCTGTAAAAAACCTAGCTCCCAAGAAATTGGTAAGGGAAGAGTCAGAGCTTCAAAGGCTTAAGCCCTGATGGTTTGACTAGAGGCCAAGGAAAGAGGGAGGAATTTAGCAGCCTCCGTACATTCTGAGGAGTCTAATAGGCAGCAACGAATGAACTCAGTGCGGCTTTGACTTTTGTTTGTTTGTTTCTGTTCTAAGTAGAGGGCATGAAGGAAGAAGAGGGATGTTGAGGGTGTCTGGGAAGTAGGAGGGAGAAGTTGAGAATGGCTATTTTCAAGGTACATTGTTCACATGTATGGAATTGTCAAAAAAAAAAAAAACTAAGAAAGTTCCCATTGTGCATTTGAGTTTCAAGTTTGTGTGTGTTGGAACAGATTTAAATCAAGAGAGTCACGTGTAGGTAATTTTTGGGTCATTGGATCTAAGATTAGAGTCTGGGTTGGCATTATCTTGTAGATCAGGAAAAACGTGCTATCAGGATCATGTGTGGGCTAACTTACTTCATTTTGGATAGTAAAATTCTTGTTCTAACAATTTTTTTAATGGAGTAGAAGTGTAGAGAGCAGTTTCCAAAATAGATGACGTAAGCCAAGAGATCATGAAGGACAAATAGAAAAGAATTGACTGGTGATCATCAACTTGAGGAAATTCAGCTTGAGGGGAGGGGCAGAGAGGGAAACTGAACTCTTGGGGGGGTGTTCTAGCAGAGCACACACACACACACACACACACACACACACACACACACACAGACCGGAGTTAATCCTTGGTGTGAGGAGAATGCAAAGAGAGCAGGTAGATGTCAGCACCTGTACAGGAATCCAGGACCAGGACCCCAACACATCAGGTGGCACCTATGTGGCAGAGGGTCTCACTATAATAATGTATGATGTAGCACAAATAATAAAAACAGATGCTGAGGTTAAAGCTGAAGACCAGAGAAGTAAGGTGGTCAACCACAGAGAGTTCTCACTTCCACCAATGTTCAGACCGAAAGGGCTAGCCTGTCCTCAGATTGTATTTCCAGACTGCTCAGACTGCCCTGAGCACCTGTCTCTTCTGCTTTGCATTCCTCTCTAGCACTGGGATTAAAGGAGTTGATCCCAACTGGTGGGATCACATTTGTGTGAGCTCTGTTTCTCTTTCAGAATGGATCAGTTTTGTGTATCTCAGGGTAGCCTTGAACTAAGAGAGCTCTGTCTGCCTCTGACTCCCAAGTGCTGGGATTAAAGGTTGTGCCACCGCTGGCTGGCTTCTATGGTTAACTAGTGTGGCTAGCTTTGCATTCCGATCTCCAGCAAAAGAGAGTGTGGAGGGGTAGTGGAAGAGAAACTGAGAGCATAGTCTGTGGTTCCTCCGCTTCCACTTCCCCTTCTCAGCCCTGGACACTCTAACCACTATACAGGCTCCGTCAGGGGGCAGCTAGTGAGGGCTGAACTCCAGTCTCCCTTTTGCTGGTCGAGCCACACACTGCACAGGGGAAGCACACATACTTCAAAGCTGCCAATCAGGCTGAAGCAAGCGTGAACTGCAGGACCCAGAAGGAGAAAAGGAATCTCTCTCTCCTGGGCAAGGCCACAAAAGGGTCTGGTGTGAGGATGTATCTGTCCTGTTCGGAGGTTGCATGAACATCCACAGAAAACCCTTGGCAAGAAAGTCCTCCTAAACCCATTTAGACTCTGGAGGTGGAAATCCATCCACACAAGGCCGATGGGTTGGTGCAGACAAGAAAGGATGGTTGGTTGGCTTGGTTTGAATCTCTTCACAGCCCAGGAATCTACAGATTTTTTTTCAGTCCTAAATGTAGAACTTCTCTCTTGAGAACTCAACAGACAAACCAAACCAAACCAAACCAAACCAAACCAAAAATCTCAGACAGAAAAAAAAAAAAATCCTTACCTGAGAGGCAGGATCCAATGTAAATGGCTGAGATGGCTGAGGAAAGTAAGTAAAAAGGTAAGATCAGAGAGTTGATTTCCAAGTCTTTGTTCAGATTACCCATGTTTAGAAGGCCCTTGCTCCAAGGGCAGCCCTGTCATGGCCTTCTTCTCCTGACACCAGCCTCAAAGGACACCATGGGAGCCATCGAGGCCAGTTCTAGTGAATTAACTGACTTAGGTGTCCTTTGCCTGTCGGGCCGGGCCATGCTACTGTCATTTACTCTGATTAACTGTGGCTGCCTCAAGTAGGAGTGTGGTGATGTAGTGTTTTGGTCCACAGAAAAGAGCACTGGAAGCCACCAAGCAGTCACTGGTGCAGAAGGCAAAGATACCATGGGCAAGGCAGTGAGAAATGATTGGCTATGTTCACTGGTGCTCATTTAGATGGGAGGAGGCAAACTCCTTTGTATGGAGCCAGTAGCAAGGATTTTTGATTTTGGAGTCTGCATGCTCAGTTACAACTACTCAGCTTTGCCCCGCAATGCAGATTAACATTGGGGACCTTTGCTTATGGACATCATTTTAAATTTCAGGTCATTTTTATGCATTGTGAAATGATTTTTTTATTTTTATTTTCCTTCTCCATTTAACGGTGTTAAAGTCATTTGCAGCTTGTAAACTGTGGTTCATCTAAACTTAACTTAGATCAATGAATGGGCCAGGAGCAACTCTTTATACCCAGCATATCTTTGGAATATGAGTGATTTTCCCCCTACATGAATTGTGTGTGGTTGGACATTCTGTCACCTTCTTCACACCGTGAAACCCCGTAACACTCAGCTGCCCTTGAAGCTAAGCATTTTCAATTATGTAATTTGCCCACCACATATGCCATAGGATTTTTCTGAAAGAACAAAAGTGTCTTTGGACCGATATAGAGTTTCAAACAAACAGCTCAGTGATCAATCTTCAAAACTTCTATCTAGAAATAGCTTCCCAAAACCTCTTCTCTCTTTCTCTCTTTCTCTCTCTCTCTCTCTCTCTCTCTCTCTCTCTCTCTCTCTCTCTCTCTCTCTCTCTCTCTCCTGTTTTCTTTCCTTACTCTCTCTCTCTCTTTTTTCTTCCTTTTCTTTTTTTAAGACAGGGTTTTTTTTTTTGTAGCTCTGGCTGTCCTAGACTTCACTTTGTAGACCAGGCTGGTCTTGAACTCAGAGACTGGTCTGCCTTTGTCTTCCAAGTGCTGGGATTAAATGTATGTACTGAGAGGGCAAGGGGGTCAGACCAGGGCCATGACAGGTTTCTGATGACCCCTGCCAGGGACCAGGCCTTAGTATCAGTTTACTGGAACTGGCTGGAGCTGAGCAAGCAGTTCTTGGGAAAGCTGCAACCCAGGGGCAACCAAGCAGAGGGCGCCCCACAGCCTGTGCAAGCTTAAGAGAACTAAAAATAGTTTCTCCCACCCTGCAGCTGAAAAGACCCTAACTGGTTACTAAGACACCAACCAATCCTATAGCAGCCAGTAAACTATTTGTTTAAACCCACCAATCAGCCCCCAGACTGACCTCCCCTCCTTGGGATTTCTCTAGTCTTGCTTAAAAGGAGCTTCCCGGCCTCTCTCATTGTTGCCATGACCCACCCCAATATGTTGGATTAATAAAGTGCTTTTGCTAATTGCATATGTGACTTGTGGCCTTTTATGGGGACATTGCTTGGACCTTAACATGTGCCACCATGCCTGGAGGAGCCTCTTATTCTTAATCTTCAGTCAGTGACTGAGGTCTTGTGTATTACAATGCATAAGACTCAGATACACTATGTGTATACATTGCATAACCTCTCACACAAAACAGAAGGACGTTAGAAGGAAAGTGAGTGGACACAAGGGAGCAGAAGTGAATGGCTTGGGGCTTCTGCACACCGTTGACAGGAGGGATAAGTGCATGCGGCAGAGATCTGAAGGCCTTTGTGAAGGCCTTCTGGTGAGCCTTGGGGGGGGGGCTCACCAGTAATCCACAAGAGGCAGGACTAGTTGTTGGCTTCTGCTGGGATATAGAGATGTTTAAGATATGGCCAGGCCCCTTCACTGGACATATAAGTCTGGAACTAAAACGACAGCATGGGCTTTGCTGATATTCTCAAGTAATCAAGACACTAAACATGGATGTGACTTACTAGGGTGGCAGATCACATATTAATTACATTACTAAAAGGCTTCTAGTAGGACATGAGCTTGTAGTCCTAGCAGTGGATAGGCAGAGACAGGAGACTCCCCAGTGCTCACTGACCAACTGCTCTAGACTAATTGACCAGCTTCAGATCAATAAAACAGTCCCAAAATAAGGTTGTCCAAAAACACAATGTTTTCCTCTGTTAAATATATGTGCAACGCACAAAATCCTCTTTAAAATGTCTGGAAAATGCAACATCTTTACTTCATAGATCAGACAGCCAACTTCAGAGAAGCATGGTAACCCACAAATTCAATTAAGAATCATGGCTGAAATACATGTTTTTTTGTACCCAAATTCCAGGTTATCCAATGTCTAGAACAGTGGTTCTCAAGCTTCCTAATGGTGCCACCCTTTAATACAGTTCCTCATGTTATGGTGACCATACAGTTATCTTCGCTGCTACTTCATATCTGTAATTTTGCTATTATTATGAGTCATATTGTAAATATCTGTGTTTTTTGATGGCCATAGGTGACCCCTGTGAAAGGGCTGTTTGTAACGAGTAATGACATCTCCCATCAGCTGTTCTACATCAAAGAATGAGAACCTCTGATCTAGACTGACCTTGGGAAAATTAGAGAAACATATTGAACACTTTTCATAGGACACTAGACTAATAGACAAATGATGATGATTGTTCTGCAGCTTCACTTTCTTGTTTCTTTCTTTTTTTTTTTTTTTAACGAACACCTTTTTAAAAAGGAGCTGAGGAAAGGAGGTGGGCGGAGTTTTATTACGAAGACAATACTCTCAAGGGGTAAGTGTGAGTTACTCAAGAAAATCCCCACAGGTGTACTTCTCCCTTACTTTATCTGACTGCTACCCAACATCCAGTCATCTCCCTTAGTAATAGTACATTTAGGGGAATGCATGTACATGGAAATGTATGTAAGGTTGTACAAATATAGGGAAACAGAAAAAAGTATGGCTATTACGGCAAACTTCAAATATGTATTTAGGGGCTTTCTAAACTTTAGAACAAGTTACCATATATAGGAAGCCTTTCTTGAAAGATACCTGAATTAGGATCAGAGACTACCCTCCTGGTGAAGTTTCCAGAAAGCCCTGAAGTCTAGACAAACAGAAGCAGAGACACTCACCGAGCGTCAAGGTGAACAGTAGAGCCATGAGCCCGGCAGCTGAAGACGGTGTGCTGAGTGAGATTGGATGCAGGTCTCAGGCACCCAGTTTGGTTTGAATGCTAGGGGAAGGAAGAGAGCTGTCCTGAGTGCAGCAGGAGCTTTATCAAATGACCCAAAGCCAATGAGCCCAGGGGGGTGGAAGAGAGATATGCTGAGTTCAGGGATGATGGAGATAGATATGCTGAGTTCAGCATGTCTAGAGGAAGGGAGGTGGCCGAGAGTGGCTAAGATCCTGATGAAAGGGTGTGCTATTGTCATGCCTTCATTGTACTGAAAGCCTCCTTCAACCTGTCACGGTTTCATTCTCTCCTCTGTGTAAGTGAGCTCTCCTAAGAGAAGGTAGGTGACAAAGTATGGCCCTCTTTCTTTAGGAGTCTAGACCATAATTAGCCTCCAAAGGTGAAGTCTGTGAGGCAAGTCAGTCAACTTGAATGACTTGACTTCCAAATGAAGCATAGGGGCCAGAGGCCAAATAATAAATGTAAACACACCCTTAAAGGGCTATCCCATGATCCATGAATGCATTTGTCTCCACTGTTACGGTGGGCTTTTCTACCTTCAACCAGTTTTCCCAGGTGCTGAACAGAAGAAGGTCTAATACACAGTCTGCCCTTCTAGGCTTTGCTGGCTGTGCCCAACTTGGAACTTGGATGGCCACAGGTCCCTGTAGTGATGGACAGATATCCTTTGCTGAACTAAGATGTTCTTCCGGTCTAAATTATGATGGAAGCAAACTGAGCCGCATATCCCTCCGTCTTCCTTACCTACCCTTTAAGAGCTATTAGACTAACTTAGTGGACATACAGAGTCACGCATGGACACAACCCTCACTCTTTCTAGTACAGGAAATTTTCCCTGATGATGGATATCTTAGGTCACTTGACATGAGACTTGGATAACTGTAGGGTTTACTCTTAATATTGTATTTCTTTGTTTACTTGTTTTAAATATAATAAAAGAAGAGAATAGCGTGAGTCGGCTTAGGATAGGAAGCTGACCCATAGTTCAGGGTTCCCTTCAGATGTGAAGTTTATTAAAAAGAGGAGACTTTGGAGCCGTGATGGGGCCTTGAGGTGAGAGGGAGGACATTAGACAGTACAATATGGGGATCTAAATGTGGCAGGGCCTTAAAGGGAAGGAGAGGTTTCCCTTTAAAACTTGGAGAGGAATTCTATTGTGAGTGAGGTTGAGGGCCCCCCACCCCCCGCACTGAGAGGGCGTGGTGGGAGGAGGCCAAAGGAGCCTTTGGAGAACCTTCCTGAGAAAGTCATCCCAAGAACACAGGAAAGGTCTAACATCATAACCCTTTGGGAGTGGCAGGAATTTCACATCACATGATTTGGTTCAACACAGCATATGCGACAAAGAGCCTGGGAAGCTATGGAGTCATAGCACACACTGTTTCTTTACTCTGTCTCAGAGAGCCCTGCAGGGCGTCACACCATGTAGGCTTTGGGGTCTGCTCTAGAGGTGCAGGTCCATATCCTAGCAATCGCTCTCTGCAGAAACAGTGTCAGCAGCTGTGAGTGATAGACAGTGCGCTGAATGGAGGGCGTGGCCCTGTGAGGGGGGGTAGGGGGGCTGGCTCGGAATACCGAAAGAGTAACTCTATGATAATCGCAGCAGCACATAAAACCTGTCGCGAGAGAGGGAAGTAGAATTTTGGGGGCACAAAGTAGAAAATGACTGCTTCTTCTTGGGGCTATTCAAAGAAGCCATCACAGAGGTGGTGACACTTGATCAAGGCTTAAGAAGTGAGTGTATGGGGTGTCATTATGAGAAAAGCGTGGCTGAGCACGTGCAAACAAAAGCACAGCTGTCCATTTACAGAACAACAGGTAGGCAGCTGGGGTGGCAGGGTGGCAGGGGTGGTCAGACTAAGTAAAATGCTCTGCATTCTCTTCCATCCCTTAGGACCCTGACACAAACAACAGTTTACCCTGGAGAACATAGACTTGTGATTGAGGAATGTATTTCACATTGAAATTAAGTAAAAGAAGATGAGGAGGAACAAAAAGACAAAATAGTTTCTCAATAAAATACCTTATTAACAACCGTCAAGAACACGGGGAAAGGAGAACAAGCTTGTCAGTCAGCAGGGACATTATTTCATAGGACACAAGCTGCTACTAACGGTCTTATGCATCTGTTGTGGAATTCTTCCCTCAAGCACAACAGCTCATTACCATTCTAATCAGAGCAGCCAGAATCACCCACAAGAGGCCCTTAACAAGATCAGTCTGTATACATTCCCTAAGAGGCGGAACAGGGAAGATGGATAGGGCCTCACCTGAGGTCACAGCCACTACCTCCTCCGGTGTCTCCATCCCAGTGGATGCAATTCTGCCCCAGCTGCAAATGGTCTCCGAAGGTAGTCGCTTTTATAGCAGGAGGAAAGTTAACTGAGAGGGGAAGACACTGTCCACAAGCTGTAAAGATGTGGCCATCCTGCTGGAGTATGACTTTTCAGTGGTATAGCTATTTTGGGGGCTACCCATGCCAAATCAGCTTGCTGCCTCAGCAGGTTGGATTTGGGTGGGATTGTTACTTGGATCCGTTGGCTGGTGCCCTGTCTGGGGTAAAACATGAATTTATGTCTCTCCAGGAAAAATTCCACAATAGCATTTTAGAGCATACGCTCTGGTTTCAGCGTGGGAGAATTGGAAGGGACAAAGGCCGACTATTACTGGGCCGTGGGGACCCATTAGAGAATGCTGGAACAGAATGTTGTGGCCCATGCCTGTAATACTAGCATTCCAGAGGCTGGAGAAGAATCAGTCCAGTCTGGATACATAGTGAGACCCTATCTCAAAGAAAGGGAGAGAGGGAGAGGGAAGAAGAGAGGAAGGAAGAGAGAGGGAAGGAGAGAGGGAGGGAGAGAGAGAGGAAGACAGAAGGAGAGAGGGAGGGAGAGAGAGGGAAGGAGAGAGGGAGGAAGAGAGAGGGAAGGAGAGAGGGAGGGAGAGAGAGAGAGGAAGACAGAGGGAGAGAGGTAGGGAGAGAGAGGGAAGGAGAGAGGGAGGGAGAGAGGGAGGAAGGAAGAGAGAGAGAGGGGGGAAATAGGTTGTCTATCTGTGGCCTACTAATAAACATGTTATTACTTACATTATTTTTCATCATTTGAGAATTACATACATGCGCATAATGTTTTTAATCAGATCTCCCCCCCACTCCCTCTCCTCCCATTTCCCCAACCACTTTTACCTCTAAAATCCCTGTGATCTGTTTCTGAGTCCACTGAATCCACTTAGTGCTTGCTGTCTGTATGCATGGGTGTAGGACCATCTATTGGAACCTAGGTAACCTCTCAGAGAATACTCTACCGAGTAAAACTGGCTAAGCTTAGAACTTCATGAGCCCCTTCTCCACCCACAATGAGATTTCAGCTGGTTTGACACTGTGCAGACTTTATTCATGATGTCACAGATGCTGTGAGTTTATGTATGCGATATTCCTGTCATATCCAGCCAATACTGTTTCACTGCACAATTCTATTACTGACTCTTATAATCTTTCCTCCCCTCCAACAAAATGATACCTTATGACTCTGTACAGTTATGATCCTTGCTTTCTTATTTATTTATTTATTTATTTATTTATTTATTTATTTATAGTTATGGGGGAAGGGAAGCATGTGCACATCAGTGTATTTTGCCCATAGAAGCAAGGGGTCCCTCCAGAGCTGGTGACAGATGGTGTGAGCCACCCACTGTGGGTGCTGGAAGAGCAATATGTGCTACTCACCGGTGAGCCGTGGACTGGAGAGATGGCTCAGCAGTTATGAGCACCAGCTGCTTCCAGAGGACCCAAGTTCAAACTTTCCTGCATCCCTATGCCATAATGATTCCCGAGGCTTGGGGATATGGGCATACTATAGATCTCACATTTAAACCAGAGCACTACATAGCCTTCTATTCTCTGCATGTTGCCCAGTTGTGAAGCTCTGTATTAATTAGCATCACTGATCTATGGGTATATAGGCAAGAACTCAGGAGGCAGTTTTTACCATGTCCACTGTGCTGGCTGATGTTTTCATGTCAACTTCACAGCCATTTTAGCAGAGTGAAGCTCAAAGGAGAAAACGCCCCCATCAGACTGGCCTGTGGCGCACTGTCTTGATTGATGGTTGATATGAGTGGACCTGTTCCAGCGGGGAGGAGGTATGCAGCTCTGGATGGGTGGTCCTGGGTGGTATAAGAAAACAGACTGAGCAAGTGATGAGGGGCAAGCCAGTGAGCATCACCCATTCCTTGGCCTCTGTATCAGGCCCTGCACAGGTTCCTGCCCTGATGTCCCTCGGTGATGGGCTGTAAGGAGGAACTGAAGCTGAAATAAACTCTTTCCTTCACAGGTTGCTTTTGGTTGCAGTGTTTTATCACAGCAATAGAAACCCACTTACCAGAACTATACTATTAGGTGCTCTCTGAGGGCCTATGACCTACATGACCATGGATTCTCAGCCTGAACTATGTCTTGTGTAACAGGCCTTAAATCTGATCAGAATCTGTGCTTGGACTAAGAAAAAAAGTGCTTAGTTATGTCCATAAGAGTTGGCACATAGCACATTTCCACTCATTGTTACTGCTGGAGCTGAGTCCACTGTTGGGAAGGCTGATGATGACTTTTCTCCCTTGGTAATGTGCATAAAAGTTCCCAGCACTATGGAACCTAGCTAGAAGGGATAAAGCTTGATTTCTGAGTCCTATAACTCAAGTATATGGCATCTTCAGCAACAAGGGTCCCATTAAGTTCTGGAAAATAATCAAGACCAATGGCAATAGTCTGTAATGTTTGGGATGGCTGTCTATGGGAATCCATTGACCAAGAACTGGAAAAGATGTAACCCATACTTGTCACTGAGTTTTTTATTTGATAGTCTATGGTGTCTGGAGGAGGTACTTTTCTCTTTCCCATTGCAAGCTAACTGCATTTAAATCCCTGTTATATATGTACATATTTTAGGAAACGTCTAGATTTCCATATGGCAATTTCAAAGGTCTTCAGAGTTAGTAAGCCAATTACCATTCCTCCTCCTCTATTTTAGCTCCCATCCTCCACACCATATAATCCTTCTTATTTCATTATTCACCTTTCTACATTCATATCACCTACATTCTA